ATTAAATATATATAATAAATTGCTTTTAATAAATTGCTTTTAATAAATTGCTTTTAATAAATTGCTTTTAATAAATTTGTTAGTTTATTTTAAAAGTTATATAACTTGTACACTTATTTTTTTTATAGTATTATATTGTAAAATATATATTGCTAACAAAAGTAGTTATTTGCCAAAATAGAATATATATTAATTATATTTATAATTATTATTGTTTGAAAAATAACTGAATATATATCGATTATTATTATAATCAATGATAATCAGCAGAAGAAATTATAATTAATATATATCTATAAGGTTAGCAATCAATATATATCTTTATATAAATTTTGTTAATATATTCTAAACTCTTCTAATCATAAAAGCCTCAAAGATCTCATACTATTTACTTAAACTAATACTCAAATACTAACTGTTTTTATTGTAACCTAGCTAACTTCTATTCTCATTAGTATACTTGTGCTAATACATTTTTGCTTAATCAAATTATTCAAACTTCTATCAACCAAATTGTTTTTAGTAAATTATCTGATCTTGATACTTAACAAAAAAATGACCTAATTCATAAAATTCTTTATCACCTAGTTCTCAATCTTCTATACATCTTACTTAACACATTTTATCCTAACCTTACTCTCAAAAGACTTATTCCAAAGTTACTTATATTAACAATTCAAAACTCTAACATACTATATAAAACTGCTTTCCAAGTTATTATTAATATTCTTCTTAATATTAATAAACAATCTTATGAACAATTATAGAAAACATATTGTATTTATTTTTTTAACTAAAAAAAACAACAAAATAAACCACAATCTCAACCAATCAACAAACTCTTAATATCATCTAATTCAGTAACTAGGCATATATATTTTTGTAAAAACTATACTTACTCATGCCTTTACAGACTTTCAGTTTAATTATATACTTACTCTAATACATGCCTTCCTATTAGCTAAACAATTTGCAAAATTAACATTTAGTCTATTCTATAGATCAAATATAGCATATCATTAAATTATATACTAAATATTCAAATCTAGATGAGCTTTAACTAGTCTAGTAGATTTAGGTTACAGATAAATTAGTCTAAGCTTTTATTTTGCATGTAATTTTTAATTTATTTGGTTTATACAAATAGTAGTAATTGTATAATTAGCAGTTTAATAGTTAGCCCCAACTATAAATATTGATCTTGATTATAGCATATATACATGTAACTATTTTAAATTATTAATAAAAATATAAGCAAGGTCTTATCTTAAAAAAAAAGCCTTAAAGATCTTGGTACTAATAGCAACTATTAGTTTAGTTTTATCCAAATTATCAATTTTTACAACTATTAAATAAAAAAAATTTTTTAAAAGAATCATGCATCATGTTTTGTATAATTTAAATTTGTTCTTATGTACCATTTCTAAAGCCACTTATCTTAGTTAAAAATATTTCAAAAAGATATAAATAGGCTTTTGTATATAAAGATTAATCTGTTAAATAGTTTAAGCATATGTTGTAGTCAGATGAATTTATATTTTATCTCTTTTTTGGTTTCTACAACTATGTGTAAAGAGAACTTAATGAAAAATAGAATAAAGACTATCTAAGTTGCACTGTAAAGTGAAGTCTAGGTTATATATATTAGAACTATTTTTCTTAGTTTAGAGTAGGGCCTATTGTTCTGTTAAAATCTTTTGCCATAAGGGTCTCTTATGTTGAAATTTTCTGAAAATATCTTCCCTCTATTATAAAAAAATTTTCTGAAAACAGTTAGTATAATTGTTTAATTCTAGTTTAAGATAATGCAAGACCTAATATAGCAGCTAAAGCAAAAAATTTTTTAAAAAACAATCAGATTCATATGATGGATTAGCCTCTTAAAGCCCAGATCTTAATTTGATTAAGAACCTATAAGAAGTATTAAAACAGTCTTTACATTATTAAAAGAGATCAAGTAATCTAAAAAAGTTAAATTTTTTTGTTAAAAAAGCATAATATAAAATATTATCAGAATATTGCTACTTACTAGTGACTAGCATGCCCAATTAGGTTGCTAAATGTATCAAAGCTAAAGAAAATCTCTTTAAATATTAATGTATAATTTGTTTTTTTTTTGTTAAAAAAAACTTTAAAATTTAAGTTTTATATTAAATAAAAAAAGTCAAATTTGTTGTTTTTTTTTTATAACTTTGGTGCAACTTAACAAAATTATACAAAATTTTAGTATGCTATGCTGTAAAATTGGCTAAACAAATAATATAAATTTTATACTGCATTTACTTATCTGTTTTTAAACAATTATGCACCAAAAAGTGTTCACAATATTATAGCAACCTTTGTATATGTAATCTATATATTATTTTTCTTTTTTTAACATTTAGATTGTAACAGTTTTTAGAAATAAAGAACTAGTTAAATCATGAATACATATTGTAATAATATCAATAATATTATCTATTAATATAATAGAAAATCCTAATATTATATATGTATTATCTGAAAGAGTATTTGTAGTTTATAAAATAGATATAAAAACTAGATAATAGCTTAAAGATCTAAATCTTCTTGTTGTGTAAATTTATATTTTAATAACTGCAGCTATTGTTATATAGCATTAAATAAGTACTATTTCATCTGGTTGATATGTCTTATAAAATTTTGTGAACTGTTTTATTTTTATTAACAAACTGTTCAATTTCTTTAAAATCCTAAGTAATTGTAAAAAAAAATATAATAGACTTTACAAATTTTTATACTTTTTTAATTGATGTTTTAATTGATATTAATCTTATAATAATAATTAGATGCAAAATATGTACAAAATAATAATAAAAATAAAAATAAAAAGTTTGTATAGATAAGTATATATTGAATAAACAGATTACTAAAATTACATTAAATTTATTATCTATAGTTGCACAAATATCTTTGTAATAATATTAAAAGTATTTAAAATTAATCTTAATTAAATTTCAATATCTTACCAATATGTAGATATAGAAATATTTAAATATCAATTAAGATTTTTTTAAAATTTTAATTATTATCAATTTAATGTACTGTAATACTAAGAAATAATATATTTGTACAAAAAGTCCAAATATTCAAAGTTATTAAAATTTAACTAGAAATATAACTAAAAAGAGTCTAAACATTTCCTTACATTAAAATAAAAAAATTTTGTACAATTAATTTAATAGTTTTATATAAAGATAAATTAAGACTTGTATTAAGATATTATAACAAAGTAATTAATACTTTGTTTTTAATAATTAAAAAAGGTAAAATATCTAAAACAATTCATTCAACTAATAAAATATTAAATTGTATCTTTTGTTCAGTTATTAAACTTTGTGCTAAAACTATATTAATAAGTGCAAAAAGTTTAATTATAAATCAAGATATTTGCACAATAGACCTGTAACTGTTTTTTTACTAAATATATTTTTACAAATAACACAAATAACTACATTATCATTATTTAATTTTTTAATAAAATAAGACATAACTAAAGATGATTTTTTATTTTTTGTGTTTACAGAAAGAGAGATAACATTTGTATTTAAAGAAGCAATATTGTTATTAGAAATATCTTGGATGTCTTGAAAGTTAATAAAAAATTTGTTAGAATCTATTTGAACAATTATTGAAAATAATATTTGAGAATAATTATAAAAATAAGTAAATAAATAAAATAAAAAAATATTTATTACATAATAATCTTTACAATTTACAAAAATATTACAACATATTTTAAAATCTATTACATTTTATCATTATCTCTGATTTGACAAAAACTATTTTGCATAAAAAAACTACCATAAAGTGCTAACTTGAGTACCTCCCTATGATTTGTACCTAGTAAGATTTAGTGACTTAATTTTAATTTATATCTAGGTACTATATATTGTTTACTTCAATGAGAAGTACTCAGGTCCATATGTATGAATATATATATAGAGATAGATGCTATGCAGCATGGTGCTTAATTGTTACATGATTAAAATTATGAAAATCATATTAAATGTTAATTTTTATATAAATTATAATATGTGATGATTAAGCATCATGCTGCATAGTGCCTATCTCTATATATATATATACAGTTTAAGCATAACAGAAAAACAATTTAGCAAAAAAATTTTTATTATATTATATATGTAATAATATATTGCAAGCTACACAATTTATTTATATCAGTTTTTAATACTAACATTAATTTTCCCAATTATTTTTATAACTCTCCACTTCTTCGTATAAGTCTCTATTGATATTATTAATTATTGTAACTTCATCAATATGAGCTTTATCTATATTTGTTAAATAATCATCTTCATCTTCTGGTTCATCTTGAGCTGTCTTCACAGAAATACCACAACAGCTAAATGCCTTTCTAATTAAGTCAGAGCTAATTTCTTCTCAAGATTCTTTAACCCACTGTGTAACAATTAAGTATGCTGGTTTGCAAATACATCCAGTAGGAGTTAATTGATGAATTTCTTTGGCCATCCAATCATTGTAATGACATCATACCTATAATTACAAATATTAAAAATTTTAAATATTCTATAAGCATAAAAAATGCTTACTTATATTTTTTTTAAAGCATTTATTGATAGCAATATCCAAAGATTGAAATTTACATGTTAATTTATCTGAAATTACAGCAACATGAGTCTCCTTTTGTTCAAAATTTTCTTTAACAGAATCTACTATATGACCTTTAAATGAATCTAAAATCAGTAATGAAATCAAATTTTCTATTTCATTGCATTGAGTTCAAACCATATTTATTCAGTAATTCATTTCATTTTCATTACACTACCCACTTTGATTAGCTTTAATAACAATATCATCAGGAAAAATTTTACAAGAAATCTTTTTTAGCTTAAAAATGCAGGTTGGAAGAAGTTTTATATCATTGGCAAGACATCTAAGGATTATAGTAAAACAAGTTTTTTTATGCCCAGTTGTCTGAATACTAATTGTTTTATTACCACATTTTTCAAGAGTTACCGAGCTAGGTAAATCGAATGCTACTGAAGTCTTATCCATGTTTCCAATATATTTTAGAAGAAATGTATATTGATAATGCTTAAATGCAACAAAGTTTAAAAATTCAGTTTGCTTTTCAATATAATCTTCAGAAAGACATTGTAATATAGTTGTACAACGACAGTTTGAAAGATTGTAATGATATAAAAATTTATACAACCATTAATTAGAAAATTTGAATTTAATAAGATTAGAGTAAGTATTTTTGATTTCTTCTTTTTGTGATAACAACTTTGCTTTACAGATTGTCATATTTCATGTTACTGCATTTTGTCTATCATGTAATTCTTTAATCCAGTTAAAAAGCTTTTCTTCAAGAATTAGATATTGTGCAGAATGACCAGAATGAAATAATAAAGCATGAGATAAAGCATCTAGAAGTTCTTGTTTTTTTTTCTACCAATCATGAACTTGTTTAGGCTTGATTTCAAACTCTTTAGCTGTTTTTCGCACATTTTTAATGTATTCAAAATAATAAACAACTATAAGTTTTTTATGAATACACCAACTTTGATGAATCTTATTAGTAATACAAGCCTGTCTCATATTATTTATTTTCTTTAAAACTATTAATAAATACTCAAAAAATTTTGTAGTTCTTATATACTGATTATTGATAAATTTATTCGACTTTACAATATGACACCATTATAAATTAGAAAAATTTTATAACT